TATTCGCAGGCGTTCTGCATCTGGAAGTAGTTCTGATCGTTCACGTTCTGCTACTCCTCCAGCAACAAGGAATCATTCTGGTTCTCGGACACCTCCAGTGGCACTCAATAGCTCCAGAATGAGCTGTTTCAGTCGTCCTAGCATGTCACCAACTCCTCTTGACCGATGTAGATCACCTGGAATGCTTGAACCCCTTGGCAGTGCTAGAACACCCATGTCTGTCCTGCAACAAGCTGGTGGCTCCATGATGGATGGCCCAGGTCCCAGAATACCTGATCATCCAAGAACATCTGTGCCAGAAAATCATGCTCAGTCTAGAATTGCACTTGCCTTGACAGCTATCAGCCTTGGCACTGCCCGACCTCCTCCATCCATGTCTGCTGCTGGTCTTGCTGCAAGAATGTCCCAGGTGCCAGCTCCGGTACCTCTCATGAGTCTCAGAACGGCCCCAGCTGCCAATCTTGCTAGCAGGATTCCTGCAGCCTCTGCAGCAGCCATGAACCTGGCCAGTGCCCGGACACCCGCTATCCCAACAGCAGTGAACCTGGCAGACTCACGAGCACCAGCAGCAGCAGCAGCCATGAACTTGGCCAGCCCCAGAACTGCAGTGGCACCTTCAGCCGTGAATCTTGCTGACCCTCGGACCCCCACAGCTCCAGCTGTGAACCTAGCAGGAGCCAGAACCCCTGCTGCCTTGGCAGCTTTGAGTCTTTCAGGATCTGGCACGCCTCCAACTGCTGCAAATTATCCCTCTAGTTCCAGAACACCCCAGGCTCCAGCCCCTGCAAACCTCGTGGGTCCACGATCTGCACATGCCACAGCTCCTGTGAATATTGCCAGTTCTAGAACCCCTTCAGCCTTGGCCTCTGCAAGCCTCACCAGTGCTAGGATGGCCCCAGCATTGTCTGGTGCAAACCTTACCAGCCCCAGGGTGCCCCTTTCTGCTTATGAGCGTGTTAGTGGCAGAGCTTCACCCCCGCTTCTTGACCGAGCTAGGTCTAGAACACCACCATCAGCCCCAAGCCAGTCTAGAATGACCTCTGAGCGGGCTCCCTCCCCTGCCTCCAGAATGATCCAGGCTCCTTCACAGTCTCTTCTCCCTCCAGCACAGGATCGACCTAGGTCTCCTGTGTCATCTGCTTTTTCAGACCAATCCCGTTCAAATGCCCAGACCACTTCTGTAGCAGGGTCTCAGTCCCTTTCCTCTGGGACGGTGGCAAAGGCCATGTCCTCCACTGGTGACCACAATGGCATGCTTTCTGGCCCTACTCCTGGGGTGCCTCACCTGGAGGGTGGGGAGCCACCTGCCTCTACTGGGGCCCAGCAGCCTTCTGCGTTGGCCACCCCGCAACCAGCAAAGGAGCGGCGGAGTTCCTCCTCCTCTTCCAGCTCCTCCAGCTCCTCTTCATCATCATCATCGTCGTCTTCATCATCTTCCTCCTCTGGCTCCAGTTCTAGCGACTCAGAGGGCTCTAGCCTTCCAGCTCAGCCTGAGGTGGCACTGAAGAGGTGAGGGAACTTTATTTTCAGGAATCTTCTAGGGGGAAAAGGAATTGGGAATGGATGAGGGAGTGGGGTGGGAGCAACCATATCTCAGGTTCTTGGTTCTTTGAGAAGGTATGGGGAACCTTGACCCTCAAGCTGGGGGTAGAAGAGAATGCTGGGGTGGGGGCTACGGGTGGGGAGGGATGGGACAGAAAAGTCTCAGAAGATTAATTCTCTAGAGGATAATGATAAGTTTTCCATCTCTACAGAGGACAGAACTAGAGGAAATGGACTTAATTTTACAGCAGGAGGGATGGCAGTTAGACCTCAAGAGGAACTCCCTGGGCTGGAAGGATCTTCAGAGGTCATCCCATCCCTCTCCCTGCCTCCAGGCAGGACGGCCCCTCCCCAAGCCAACCTGCACTCACAGGGGCCTCCCCAAGCTGCGGCTCTCCGAGGAAGGAGACCACCCAGCTTCAGCTTCCACATCTGAGCCCAGGGGCCTTATTCCTTCATCAGGGACATTCTTGAGGTTTAACCTTGATCCCTTATGCTGCGGGCCCCAGCCTGTTGCTTGTGTTAGCAGAGGTTGGGTCGGCTCGGGCCAATGATCTCCAGAGAAGCACTCACTGGCTGGCTTCAGGTTGCTCCGAGAGCTCCCAGGGCCTTTCTCAGGCACCCCTCCCCCACTGCCATTCCTCCAGGCCAAGGAAGGTAGGGTTGGGGCTGGGGCAGCTTGTCTCTTTGTAACACTGCTCTTCTCCCACAGGGTCCCCAGCCCCACTCCAGCACCAAAGGAGGCTGTTCGAGAGGGACGTCCCCAGGAGCCAGCCCCAGCCAAACGGAAGAGGCGCTCTAGCAGCTCTAGTTCCAGTTCCTCCTCTTCCTCTTCTTCCTCTTCATCCTCCTCCTCCTCTTCTTCCTCTTCTTCCTCCTCTTCCTCCTCCTCCTCCTCTTCTTCCTCATCCTCTTCCTCTTCCCCTTCCCCTGCTAAGCCAGGCCCTCAGGCCTTGCCCAAACCTGCAAGCCCCAAGAAGCCACCCCCTGGCGAGCGGAGGTGAGTCCTGACTTGCCCGAGATGGAGGGGAGGGTGATTTCTCCAGAATGGGCCCCTTGTGGACTTCTGTGTCTGGTTGTAAGGGAGGAGTCGGGCACACTCCTCTGCCCGCTATTCTCTGCACCCTGTTCTGGTAAAGGGCTGCACCATCCAAGTGGGTTCTCAAGCCAGAACTGGGAAGTCCTAGGTTTCTTTCTTTCCCCCAACATGCAGCCTGGTCCCAGGGATTCTAGCTCTTTTAAGTCTCCCCATTGCTGCTACAGGGCTCTGGTCTGGCCACCATCATCTTCTCCCGACTCTGTCCACAGCCTCTTCCCTGTCTCCCTGCCTCCACGCCATTCTCTTCCACACGTAGCCAGAGGAATCTTTCTAAAACGTACATCTGGTTACTTCCCTCCACTCCACAAATCCTTCCGGGACGCCCTGTGGCCTGCAGGATAAAGCCCCACCTCTGCGGGAATGGCGTGTGAGGCTCTTCACCAGCTGGCCTTGCCCACCCTGTGCTCCTCCTGCCCGCCCCCATACATGCCCTGTGCTCCAGCCACACCCAGCGCCTTGCAGTCAAGGAGAGCCCATGCCTTTGGACATGCTGTTCCTTCTGCCTGGAATTTCCTTGTCCGCCTGGTGAACTCCTCGTTCTGCAAGACTCCACTCAAAACAGCACCTCCGAGAAGATTGTCCCGCCCCGCCCCTGCCCCGCCCATGTATCTGTGCCCCAAGTCCCCAGATCCATGCACATCCATCCCTGTGGGGTTGCTTCCTACACATGGGGCCCTGCGTGCCTCCCTTGTTGGCCTTCCTTCACTACCAGACTGAGCTCCTCCAAGGGCAGGGACTGTCTTTATCTTTGCATCCCCCGCTGCACCCTGTGCCCTGCCCACTGTGGGCACTCAGTGGAAGGTGTGCGGGCGGATGGGTGAGTGCGGACAAAGGTGGGTCTGAGGCTGGCCCTGCGTGGTGTGAGGTTTGGTGGTCAGGACCTGGGTGGGTGGTTCTGAGTGCTGGCTGGTGGATTTGGAAGGGCATTGTGCTATGGGAGCTTCCTCTGCTCCCCAGGTCCCGCAGCCCCCGGAAGCCTATAGATTCCCTTCGGGACTCGAGGTCCCTCAGCTACTCACCTGTGGAGCGACGCCGTCCCTCACCTCAGCCCTCACCACGGGACCAGCAAAGGTAGGGCCCACCCAAAGGTTAACACAGTCTTGAATGACGCACAGGACTTGAGCGAAAAGCCAGTTTCAAGGTTCAGGGATGTCTGAGGCTGGTGCCACCCAGTGGTCTGACATGTTTTTTTGTTGCAGCAGCAATGAGCGGGTTTCCCGGAGAGGCCAGCGTGGGGACAGCCATTCTCCGGGCCATAAGCGCAGGAGGGAAACTCCTAGCCCCCGTCCCATGCGACACCGCTCCTCCAGGTGTGTCTCCTCTGAAGGGTATCCCATTCTGGTGGGTGACAGGAGCCAAACTTGATTTTTGGCATTGATTCTGGTCTTTTCTGCTACAGGTCTCCTTAAATCACCGCGCCCCATGCTCTGGAGCCACAGGGAGTGTCCCCCAACAGAGCTGTGGGAGGTCCTTGTCTTCCCCCACCTTTGAATCCTGGCAGCATCTTGGGTGGAGGGCTCCCTTCCCCCCCCTCCTCCCTTTTTTTTTCTTTGTTCCTGTGAAATGTTAATCTCTGTGAGTTTTTCCTGGTTCATGTGTTTGGGGGGGTTTGGGGGTGGGAGGGAATGAATGCTGATGGGAGTTGGGGGAGGAGAGGATACAGTTCAGACACTGAGGCCTAGATTCAGAGAGGCCCTGGGAGGTGCAGCGGCCTGAAGTTCCTGGGGGTGATGGTTTAGAATTTAGAAGTTGAGGTGTTCTTGGATGAAAGGGGCAGGAGTTAAAAAATTAGCTGGCCCCTACTGCCCCCCATGAGGTTGTGACCCCCTCCCCCAATTTTTCTTCATGTTTCTTAAAAGGCATTTTGGTTTTTTAAAAATCTGTACAGCAAGAGCAACTTTTTCTGTCAAATAAAAATGAGAAATGCAGGAATTGGGTCTATAAATTGTTTATTTTAAGTGGTGAGAGAGCAAATGGAAGAACCACCTTCACCTTACACCCTGACTAGAAGTCCCCAAGGCCTTTGCCCTGGATGTCCTGAAGCCCTGGGGTGGGGGGGGGCAGTGATGAAGTAGGACCCCACTCTTAACACTGAAGGAAACACCTGGAAATTGGGTGGCAAGTGCACCTTAAAGGCTGGATTTCTTTTGCCCCTCCTGTGTTGGGCTGGCCTAGGGCTCGGAATTCTGACCTTCTCTCCAAAGCTGGGAGTAATTTGGCTCTCAGGGCAGCCCAGGATAGACTGGTCAACATAGAAGTCAGGTTAAGAGCCCAAAGAAGTGGGGGAACAAGACCCATCCCAGGGAGGGCAATGCCTGGAATAGGGAGGGAGAGGGTGGAGAAAGAGGCGGCAACCAGGCAGAMACCCAAATCTCTTTTATTGGGGGGAATGGGCCTCAGGGATGGGCCTGGGGCCCTCACTGCACAGCTTGTTCATTGGCGCTGCCTCCWGAGTCCTGAGGCTTCATAACGTCCGGAAGCTCGGGTGGGCTAGAGAAGGGCTSGATGCGCAGGGCCTCAAAGGCATCATCTGTAGGGGAGGAGACAGAGTTGGAAAGGTGCTCAACTCATATCATACCCCAGCTGGGCCTTGTTCCACCCAATAACCTGAAGCCCTGGGGCACCTAAAGTCATTGTCCTGCAGCTTTGACCTGCCCACTGCCAGCTGCTTCACTTAGTGGCACCTGAATGACTCCTGACCCCATTGGCCCAAGCCACCCATCCCTCTTTGCTGGCCATTCTAGGCCTTTTCCCATTCTACATTTGTCAGTAACTTCCTGCAGGCACCCCCCAATTCTGTTTCCACAGCCAGCATCACCTGCCACCACATCAGAGTCTCCTTGCTCTCTCTGCCTTTTCCATCAACCAACCAGTGGTGGGAAACCAAGTACAGTGTTGACCCACTTAGAACTTTCCAATGGTTTCCCATCTGGTTTCACCAACCCTGTGTCTGTCTCCAATGCTCAGCCTCACTCCCATACCAAGCCCTTTCCCCCCTCAGGATTTTGTACTTGCCAGTCCCAACACCTGTCACATGGGACATGCTATGGACAGCGTTCAGCTCAGATGTTACCTCAGAAAAAAATTGTCAGATTTGATAGGAGAGGCCAGGGATGCTGCCATACATTCACAATACATAGGATGGCCCCACACATAATCATCCAGCCCCAAGTGCTAATACTGCTGAGGTAACAAACCCAAGCCACAAACCTGCAGGGACAATTCTTGCCTTTACACACATATTCCGTGACTCATCTGGCCAGTGCAATCTCACACCTGACACTGTCGTCTCCCTAATTGAGCAGTTTGAGGTTGGCAGACAGATCTGTCTCATCCTTTAGTAAGGACACTGAATGGCAGAGAGTGTGGCACCCAATCAAGACCCAAGAACCTAGTACTGATTGGTCAGCTGCACAAAGAGTTGTCTTTCTGCAAGTAGTCTGTGAGAAAACAAAAAGTAACCAACAGACACTACGTGCCTCAAGGTAATGTGCAATGCCATGGTGGGCAAAAACAAGTCATGTCTCTTAGCCYTCATTTATGCTATCAGTGTCTTCCAAGCCACTCCAAGCCTTTTGTTCAACAACAACAACAACAACAAAAAAGCTACCACATACCTATAATCCCAGCTACTCAAGAAGCTAAGGCAGGATGATCCCAAGTTCAAGTTCAGCCTAGGCAATTTAGTGAGACCCTGTCTCAAAATAAACCAATAAAAAGAGGTAGGGGTATAGTTCAGTAGTATAGTGCTTCCCTAGCATATACGGTCCTGGGTTCAATTCCAGTATAGCAAAAACAAAAAGTAGAGAAAGGATCACTTCAGGGAGAATACAGCTCTGTTGCCTCTGCTCAGAAAGCCCACTAGATGTGACTCAGTCATCACTTACCCCCGCAGAAAGACACTCCTGTATCATGTCTGTAGCATTCACAGCAGACCAGACTCAGGCTGCCCTGCTGGGTGAGGCAGGGAAAGAAGTACCTGACCTGAGGACACATCTGCTGAAGCTGAGGCCTAACCCCACTATCCTTATGGGACCTAGACCATACTCTTCTTTTTCAACCTGTGCTGTTTTCTTACAAAACAGAAAATGATTCCTTTATCCATGTTCCCTCTACCCACACATCCCTTGGATCCACATCTGCAAAAATATGGCTCTATGATCTGTTTAAAATTCCAGGAGACCGGGGCTGGGGATGTGGCTCAAGCGGTAGCGCGCTCGCCTGGCATGTGTGCGGCCCGGGTTCGATCCTCAGCACCACATACCAACAAAGATGTTGTGTCCGCCGAGAGCTAAATAAATAAATTAAAAAAAAAAAAAATTCCAGGAGACCAAGAGTAAAAACTAAAAATTCTACCCTCCCCTTTTCTTAGATGGAGGGAAATGTGAAACTCTCCCCACCCATCATGGTACAATATCCTGGGAGATTTGGGGTAAGATTAACAAGAATATAGGATCTAGATCTGAAGCCTGGTGTTGGCATCCCAGCAAACAACCCCATTTCCCCAAGCTCAATTTACTCATCCTTAAAAAACACAATCCACATGGTGCTTGCTTGCCTATAATCCCAGCAACTCATGAGCCCGAGGAAGGGGGATTGTGAGTTTGAGGCTAGCCTTGTCAACTTAGTGAGGCTGTAGACAAATTACTAAGACACTGTCTCAAAAAAAAAAAAAAAAAGTGCTGGGAATGTAGCTCAGTGGTAAAATGCCCCGGGTTCAATCCCCAGCACCAAAATAACCACCATTCAAACTAATGCAAATTCAAGCCTTGACCAGAAATACTGGGGGAATCAGGTGATAAGCAGCACAATTCAAGCTTGGTATGGTATCTGACTCTAGCAAGGCACTAGAAGCCCGCCTCTTACCCATGGGACTGCTGGCAAGACTTAGTCCTCCCTATCTGCAAATGGGGATGATGGCAGTGCTGGCATCTCCGGGCTGAGAGGATTAGATGGGACAATGAAAGTAACATTCAGAGTGAAGAGCCAAGTACTCAATAAATCCTCTGTAAATCTGAGAGGGCATTGGGATGAGGGATCTTCAAACCATTTGTGAAACGGGCTTTAATTTCTACAAGTGTCTCTTGTTTGTTTTACAATGGAGAAACACTGTCAGATAGTTCCTACCCTTTGTGGATTGGAAAGCAAAGGCCAAATCAACTTCAGCTCCCCGAAGACCCTTTTCTGTGGCCATTATCAGCCTGCCCAGCTGCCACCCAGTCCAGTCCTTACCTGCCCTGAAGGCCAGCCCCACTGTGGCTGGGGCCTGTGGCCGTGCTGTCTGGCTGGTGAAGCCACATTCGCCCAGAGTTTTGCCGTCATCGAGGAGCTGGTCATCCTGAGGAGAGAAGAAGGGTCTGGGGAGAGGTCCAGAAGGGGCAAGACCCACAGATCTCTGGCCAGCAACCACAATGGGAGTCAGAGGAAGAGATAGTCCCAAGTGTGGCCATAACTACCACAGAGCACGTTGGATACAGCTTCCAGAGCCGCGTCCCCAAGATGTCCAAATAAGAACTTTGCAGGGGAGGGCTCTGGAATCTAGTTCTCCCAAACCCTGCGTGCGAATCGCCCTCGGAGTCACTGAGCCAGCGGAAGGAAGCCGAGGCAGATCACTGACAGCTCTGACCCTGAAGGGGCTCAACTTTCTGACATCAGTGCCCTCAACTATAACTCGGGGCCCCCGGCTTCCCGGGCTCACAGGCGGCCGGGGCTCCACGAGCGGGAGAGGGAAGAGGGCGGGGAGTCCCGCAGTCGGCGCTCGCAGGGTCCCTGAGCTGGAGCGCCCGCGGCGGAGGGGAGCGGAGGCCTCGGAGGCGCCGACCCTGCCAGTTTCCGGCTCGCCCCGCGTCGGCGCGGAGGAGCACCGCGCTGCCCGCGACCTGCACCGGGCGCCGGGCGAAGACCCCACCCGGCCGTCGGCGGTCGGGCGCATGGGGCCGCCGTCTGCGCTCCCCAGCTCGGCCCGCCCGGCGGCAGGGAGACGCCGCGGGACCCCGCGCGCGCAACCGCCGCCCGCCGCACCTTATAGAGCCGCTGCTCGTCGGGCGGTCGCTTGAGGATGCCCTCGACGATGCGCTTCAGCTCGAACACGGAGCTCTACTCCTTGGCGTCCGTGAAAATGGTGGTCTTGTGGCGCCGGATCATGAGGAACACGTCCTGCGGGCGGCGAGCCGGCGTCAGCGCCCCGCCGCCGCCCCCGCGAGCCCGCCACCCCCGCCGCCCCCGGCCCGGCCCGGCCGCCCCTCCCCCCGCGCCCGCTCACCATCGCGGCGGCTGCCTCTCGCTCGACGCGCCGGCGCGGCCGCGCTCCGCCCCTTCCCGGCAGCCCGCGCGCGGCCCGGCGTGCCCCGCGCGGCCCCGCCCCTCCCCGCCCCGTGCGGCCCCGCCCCCGCCGCCATTTTAAGTGAGCCGGAAGAGGCTCGGCGCGGGCCGCCATCTCGCTGCCGGGAGGGAGGCTTCGCCGCTCTCGGCGGTTTTCGCGTGTCTCTATTAGGCGCGAAGTAGCCGTGCACAGCGGAGGAATTCGCTGTTACACATTCGCAGGTGCACACGACACGGCGTGTCCCTGCCTCTCCCAGGACCCCTCTCTGGCCCTTTCCGATGCTCTCCCTCATTTCCGTGGGAACCCTCCCCTACCTCGTCCGCGCGAGAGGGGACACTGCGACCCCCGACCTTCAGAGGCTGCTTTTTCTGCTCAGCCTCCTGTTCTCCAGTTCCATGCATTTTCCCTCCGATAACCCGATGTCATTTTATGGCTGCACCAAGCCTGAGTGCATGTTCCTTTCTCCCGTCCCTCCACTGAGGGACACCTCGGCTGCTCTACGGCCTCTTTTTTTTTGGGGGGGGGGTGGACACTGAGGATTGAACCCCGGGTGCATCACCTCAGAGCCGCATCCGTAGCCCTTGTGCACTTCATGCTCTGACAGCCCTTGCCGCTCGGCCGCTATGACTTATTTTTAAAGGACAAGCTATTTTCTCTTCCTCTGTCCCCTCCCTAGGCTCAGGGGAAACAGGGTTGCCTTTCTCCCGTTTAGGCGGATTTATCTGTCCTTGAGCACACACCCACCCTGGGAACTGAGTAACCCAGACTCCGGAGGTCTCTGGGATGACTGTCCCCCAAATTGACAAGTGGTGCCAGCTGCCATGGGAGTCGCCTCTGTAGAAGCCCCTGTTCCTGCCCGTGGGCAGTCACAGCCTCCGGGACAGGAGTCCCTGTGTTTCTCCTTTGTAGCAAAGCAAGAAATGTTTTCTTTTTCCTCGGAACCATGTCTTTCTTACTAGTTTGGCCTTGAGGGCCAGGATTGAGCTTTCGGTAACCCATTCACCCTTTTTGGTTTTTTCACTTTTATTTTGTTGGTTCTGGGGCTTGATCCCAGGGGCGCTGCACCACACAGCTACATCCACCGTTTTTATCTGTATCTTGAGCTGGCCTTGCTAGGCTGCCCTTGGCCTTCACCTCGCATCCCCTGGCCAGGCCCCACTGTGTCCAGGGTAGGAGGGGTGTCCCTTCTGGTTGGCTTCCTGGACAGCTCCCCGCTCCAGTTCCGGCCCTGGTGGCAGCACTTCCTCCCTGTCTGGGCTCCTCCAGCAGCTTGATTTCCTCTGTTGGTGGAGCCTCCAACAACCATTAGAGGCTACTCTGGAACCCAGCCAGCCCCCAGGAGGGGACAGCTGCTACCTGGTCAGCCACTGACAGCTGGGCAGGTGTGAAAGATGAGGCCACCAGCCCAGAGACCCACTGGCAGTGGCCCTGGACACCATGCAGCCCTGCAGTTGTTGGAGCTCTGGTCTAAGTGTCCTAGAGGGGCCATGTGTCAGTGTCAACTCTGATAGCTAGTCGTAGGGGTAGGCACAGTGCTTGGGGTAGGATTAGAGCACGCACCTCTTCAAACCCCTCTGGGTTTTTTGTTTTTGTTTGGTTTTAAATAAGGCCCTTGAGAAAAGACCACCAGGGACCTGTGTAATCCAACCCAGATCACACTCTTCTAGGTCATTGAGGTTTGCTCATAATCTCATTGGAAAGCTAAATTCTCTACCCCAGAGGCAGTCCCACCCACCATTTTCAAGCAGTCACTGTAAGGGGAAGTTGGATCTTGAAATGGGTGTGGGCAAGAACATCCCTTCTACATGTGATAGTCTCTCAGGTATTAATATGCATGAGTCTCCCCAGTAAAATTCCCGGTTCCCTTTGTTCAGAGAGACTCTGCTTAGGGAAATATCCCCAGCACTCTCTTTGCTGCGATTAATAAATCTTCACTCCTTTATCGCCTAGTTGTTTGCATTCACCAAGGGACGAACTCACTTCAGCTATGGAGGTGCTGCTGCCTTGGGGGCTCTGGCTCTGATCCTGGCTTTGCTGCTGACCCTGCAGCTTTTGGCAGTCAACCTCCTCAGGCTCTGTTCTCTGCTCTTTAAGACCAAAGGAAAATCATGTTAAGGCCTCTGTAGCTGCTTCCTAAGCCACAACTACGTATTCTTACTTTTGACCAGCAGCTTCTAGCTCTTTGGGAGCCTCTTTGGGAGCCTTCTAAAGAACCTTCCCCTGCTGTGATTTCCCTCGCAGGGCCTCAGCACAGTCCCCATCCAGTCCAGGCTACAGCTGATGTGGTCTGAGGAGCCTCAGCTTCAGCAGGGCAGGACCACCCACCCCCATGCCATTTGTGCTGGTGTAACAGGGGTTCACTTGATGCTTTGAAACTTACATGTTTTCGGGGCTGGGGATGTGGCTCAAGCGGTAGGATGCTTGCCTAGCATGTGTGCGGCCCGGGTTCGATCCTCAGCACCATATACCAACAAAGATGTTGTGTCTGCCGAGAACTAAAAAAGAGTAAATATTGGAAATTCTCTCTCTCTCCTCAAAAGAGTAAATATTGGAAATTCTCTCTCTCTCTCTCTCCTCTCTCTCCTCTCTCACAAAAAAAAAAAAGAAACTTACATGTTTTTTTTTTCTTTTTTCCTGATATTCTTTTCCCTAAACTCCCTGATCTTCTCCTCCCTGATCTCTCCTCCCTAATCTCATTTGCTCTGAATCACCTCTATAAAAGCCCCCCTGTTCCTGCTGATGGGGAGAATCACAGCCTCTGGGACAGCAGTCCTCTGTATCTCCTTTGCTAGCAAAGCAATCAACCTTCCTTTTCCTTTTTCTCAAGACTTTGTCTTTGTTACTGGATTGGCGTTGAGGATGAGGACCAGGCTTTCAGTTACCCTGGCAGTTGGGTCTCAGCGGTGCAAGGACTGAGAGGTGCTTCAACTTGCCAGCACCATGGGCGGCCACCTCAGGAATGGGCTGAATGGAGGAGGCCGGGGAGACCAGCTRTTAGGGCAGGATGGAGAGAGCAAAGGAAATACCACCTCACCTCTGCCGTTCCTGGATCAGAGGGCCTGTCTGTCCAGGCATGGTGGTGAACTAGTGAGGACCTGAGTAACTCAGTGAGACCTTGTCCCTAAAAAGAAATATAAAAAGGGACTGGGGATGTGGCTCAGTGGTTAAGTGCCCCAACTTGCCAGCACCATGGGCGGCCACCTCAGGAATGGGCTGAATGGAGGAGGCCGGGGAGACCAGCTGTTAGGGCAGGATGGAGAGAGCAAAGGNCCTCTGCCGTTCCTGGATCAGAGGGCCTGTCTGTCCAGGCATGGTGGTGAACTAGTGAGGACCTGAGTAACTCAGTGAGACCTTGTCCCTAAAAAAAAATATAAAAAGGGACTGGGGATGTGGCTCAGTGGTTAAGTGCCCCTGGGTTCATTCAGTCCCTGATACCAAAAAAAAAAAAAAAAAGGAGGGTAGCCCAATCTATCACTGGCCAGCTGTGTGACTTTATTTATTTCATTTGTGTGTGTGTGGTGCTGGGATTGAACTCAGAGCCTTGTGCCTGCAAGGCAAGCCCCCTACCAACTGAGCTATATCCCCAGCCCCCAGTTTTGGGACTTTCTGTCTCCGTTTTCTCACCTGACAAATGGGGAAGTCCACCTAGCAGAGTCTGAGGTAACTGATGAGATTCAGTACCTCACTGTGTCCCTGCATGGTGTTGTTAGGGTACCACTGGGAGCAGTCATCTTTTGTAACTGGTCCCCCAACCCCCAGCCCTGTCCATCTCACTCCTTCCTCAGCCTTGGCTGCCTGGGTGTTCCTCAGATACACAGGCTCTCTGGATGGAGAGGCAGGCCCCAGGCCCTGGCTTGCTCAATGTCTCATGTGCTCCCTTTTGGAGAAGCATCCTGGGGACTATCTCTGGCTGGCCCTGTGCCAGGGAAGTGATGAGAGGAGAAAGGCATGAGGTGCACTCACAGATTGAAGCAGTGGGCAGCTGATATGACCCAACAGGGTCTCACTGCAAATGTGCCCCTGGACTTCTGCAGGCTGGCCATACCCTGTCCTGAGCACCCTAGTCCCTAGTGACCCCATCACAGGCAGCCCAATTTTACTGCAGAATGGACTGCAGTAAAATTGGGCATCTGCCTACTGCCCCACCAACCTGGCCTGACCCAGCAGTGACCATCAAGTAAGTCCACTGGTAGGGAGAGAGGCTTAGGCCTGTGTAGGCCTGCAGGGACTTTGATGCACTCCCCCCCTTTCTCCCCATCTCTCTGTTGATCAGCTCCAAAGAACAGGCTTTGAGCTGGGTGCGGTGGTGCACGCCTGTAATCCCAGCTGCTAGGGAGACTGAAGCAGAGCCAGCCTCAGCAAAAGGAAGGCGCTAAGCAACTCAGTGAGACCCTGTCTCTAAATAAAATGCAAAATAGGATTGGGGATGTGGCTCAGTGGTTGAGTGCCTCAGAGTTCAATTCTCAGTAAGCACCCCCCCAAAAAAAATAATTTTCCAGATTTTGCTGTTTCTTATTCCCCTGCTACTCTAGAAACTGACCTCTATCTGAGAGGAAGAGATCAGGCCCCAGGCTGGAAGGGGAGCAGAGGGAGGGCAAAGAGCCACACTGGAGAGAGGCTGTGTCCAGATTAGGGGTGTGAGGAGTGAGTGAGGGTCAGAAGCCTCAGGAGCAGTAGCAACTGTGGACAGCCCTGCCGAGGAACTCTCCAAGCCAGGCACACAGGCTTCTGAGTCTCTTGAAGTGCAGAGGACCAGCCCATCTTCCCCTAGAACACTTCCAGGACAGTGGAGCAGAATCTTTACTAGTTGTTATGTCTGTGTAACAAATTGCCAGAAAGGTAGCAGCTTAACAGAACACCAATTTATTTAATCATGACTTTGTAGGTCAGAGTCCAGTGGCTCAGCTGGGTTCTTTGCTTAGGGTCTCACTAGGCTGAGAGCAAGGGGTCATCAGGGCGGGGCTCACAGAACTGGCATTTGGAGGTCCCAGATTCTTGTGCCCTGCTGGATGTCGACCAGAGGCCACTGTGGGATGTTCTCAGTTCCTGGCTCCTCCATCTTCAGAGCCAGCAATGGAGACGCTCCTTGGTGTTGAATCTCTCTTATGCTTTGCATATGTCTGTCTTCCTCCAGAAAACAAGGGGGACACAGGCCAGACAGGGGCAGCTGGTTTGCCTATATCTGCTGTCCTGCCCTCATCCCTGGCCAGAGCTGAGGGTAAAGATGAGACAGGAGGGGAAGGAGGAGAGTGAGCCCCCAGGACACACAGAAGGTCCCTGGATTGCTGGCTT